GGTGAAGGTGGGTGGCCGCCGGGTTCTCCTCCCATGGCGCCTGCGGGCCTGACCTCTGCTCTTCCCGCAACAAAAGCCTGGTGACCTCTGTGAAAACTGGCCTTGCATGAGTTTTAGTCAGCCTTTTTGGGTGGCGGTTTCCTCATGAGTAAAAAGAGTCAGGAAGCAATGAGAGGAGTTGTGAGCTTTAATGCCGCTGCCCACCTCGACACGCCATGATTCTGTAAACGGCAGGCCTGTGACAGGAAGATGAGAATGCGAACAGCAGGCTCAGGAAGGCTGAGGTGTTTGTTCGCTCATGCACCAGTTCATCCAGAAACTATTTCCTAAGCACCTGCTATTCACCAGGTATGGTGCCAGGTGCGAGGAGGGAGACAGTCCCCCTACCCCTGGAGGAGCAGGCGAATAGGCAACCCCAGTATGGGGGCAGGGCAGGGGCAGGACTGGACAAGGTGAAGTCGGGGTCCCGTGGGAGCTGGTGGGGGGAGATTTCAGGGGAAGTGACTCTGGGGCTGAGCCCCCAAGTCTGACAGATGAGCAAGAGTTGGGTGGGTGAAGGTAGAGGCCAGAGAATACTCCAAGTTGATGGGCAGACCCTGGGGAGACTGGCTCTGGTAAAATTAGATCTTCTAGATAATTAGAAGAGGGGTTCAGATAACAATTGTGTGGCCCCACAAATCTCCAAGGCCACCTTCTGTCCCAGGCAGTCCTGGCGCACCTCCCCATCTGCCCTGGGCCCAGGCTTTTCCCCAGAGTCTCCGTCTGGGGGCTGCGGGTCTGCAGCGACCCACGGATCTAGGTTGCCCACTTCCTACCCGGCACTGCCATCGTTTACTGACCCCTCCCTCACACCCCCACGGATAATGGGTGTAGGTGGAATGGATGGGTGACCTCATTTATTTATTTATTTTTTAAGTTTTAAATTATTAATATGATGGATACATGATAGTTGTATATCAATTACCCTGATTTGTGACCTCATTTAAACCCATTTGAAAATGACGTTTTGTAAAACCCAAACAAGACATCCCCTGTCATCTCCAAAGAAACTCACGCCCCCCCTGCCCGAGCATCAGTCAGCTTCTGTGATGCTCCTGGATTTGAAGCGTCCCCCCACCCCCCTGCCCATGCTAATCGGAGACTTGGCTGAGTGGGGAGCCGGACCTCCGCCTGCTCGCCAGTCATTACCTGGCTTCTCGGCTCATCCTCAGGGACAGAGGTTTGTCCTTTGAACCCTCACTTCATAAGCTGGTTTTTATCCTCAGGGCATCACTGAAGCTTCCAGTACTGGCTCCTGCCTCAGGGACACCTGCTGTGCCCCTCCTCAGTACATGCAGAGCCACCCCCAGCTGCTGTCCCAGAGTGGGAAGGGTGCCTGCTGGCAGGTTGAACAGCAGCGGGAGGAGGAGCAGAGAGAAAGAGGGAAAAAGGCTTTCTGGGAGGTGGAAGGGGGCTGATGAAGGCCGAGTTTGTGTTCCCCTCACCTGGGTGTTCCCAGGCCGGTGCGGTACCTGGTGGGGACTGGGCGGAAGAACGCAAGCGGCCCATGGCTCCCTAGGGAAGCGGCTGCGGCGCTCGTAGGCCTACTTTGGCTGAGTAGTCAGGCAAGTCCAAAGCTATCCTGTCGGAAGAGGAGGAGGAGAGGGTTGGGCCAGGGGCTTTCCCCCCCTTGCCCCTGAGACGCTGCTCCCCTCCACCTGCATCCCCGCCTGGCCTGCATCCCATGGGGCCTTGGCCCTCTTCCCAGAGACCTGCATGCCCCAGCAGGGGACCTGAAGGCCTCCCTGTCATTCATGGGTGCTGAGTGCCCTCCCACCCGTGTGACCTCTGTCTCAGGAAGGCAGGCTGGGGGCAGATGGGGAACTGCAAGTAGGTTGAGAGGATGGAGGTCCCCCAGGCCCTCTGGCAACAGAACCATAGCCGCTCACGGCTGCAGGCCCCAAGGACATGAAGAACTCCCTTGAGGAGGGGGACAGAGGAGGCCCCTTGTGGAGAAACAAGAACAAACAACAGTAACTGGAAAGGACCTGGCCCCACTTTAAAGAAATCTGATACTCAAGTACTCTTTCTCGCATGCCTCTGCAGGCCGTGCACTTGGTGCTGAAGGGGACGCTCTGGGGACCCTCTGGCCTGCGGGAAGCAAAATGCATGGAGAGGCGTGGCCCTCACAGTTGCCACAGTGGAAAGGGAACTTGGGTTTGGCCCTGAACTCTAAGCCCAGCCTCCGTGTGCCCTTAAGCTAGTTATTCACCCTCCCTGTGGAATCAGTTTTCCCACCAACAAAATGGGCATAATTACAGGCCCCCCGTGGCAAGGTTGTTCTAAGGATTGCGGGAGCTAATGCCTGGGAAGCTCTCAGCAGAGGGCTGGCACATAGCAAATGCTCAGTGAGCCTTAGCTCTTGCCATCTGTGGCAGGAGCAGGGGCCTGTGGGAGGTGCCCAGCCCTGGCAAGGTCCCCTCCTCACACTCTGAGCAGGAGCGTTCTGGGGCAGTTCGCAGGCCTAGACCAGAGCCAGGCAGGGAGGGGAGTGAGGGTTCACAGGAAATGATGAGAGCTGGCCCCTGAGCAGAAGGTATGTACAGGAGCAGGTGGGACAGGCCTCCAGGAGATTGCCTTCTCTTCCTTGGGAGGGAGTTGTGGGAAGCAGACAGGGAGGGAAGGAGGGAGGGAGGCTATCATTTCTGGGAGGGCGGACAGATGCAGCCACCATGAGAAAGCACTGCCACAGCTGGATAATCCTAACCCCACCGGAAGCCCCAGTATGGCACAGAACATGTCTTGACTTCTGCTGAGTTGCCTCTCACCATCAGAGTCCTCCTCAGATGGGTGGCTGCATGTGCCTTCTCTGACTCTTGCTTGTCCTTGCTGTCCTTGTCCTTACCAGTCACGCCCCAGCTTCCCTTCCTCGTGGGTTCTGGCCACCGCGAGGGACAAGGGTCTAGCCTCAGGTTCTCAGGACCTTCACAAGGCTGTGTGCATGTGGCCAACAGAGATGTGTCCTGTTGATGTTGATGGTTCTCCTGACATAACTTTGATGCCTTTGTATGCCAGTAAATCTCTGATCAAAGCTATGTGCCTCCACTAGACTATAATCTCCATGAAAGCAGGAACCTTGTCACTGCATTTCCAGCCCTCAGCAAAGTGCCAGCATGCAGTGGGCATTCAGCAAATTCATTGGTTGGATGAGTGCATGAATGAGTGGGGTATTAGAGGCGTGGTATTTTCTAGGCTGAATCAGGGAGCATTCATCTCATGAAGAGCCAAGCCCTTCAGCTGGGGCAAGGCCCCTCAGTCTCCCTAGGGCCAGGCTGCTCCCAACTCTGCCCCAAGTGGGTTATTGTCCAGCATGCTGGGTCACCTCATGGTTTTCAGAGGGCACGCTGCCCACCGAGAGACAGTTCTGGGGCCCTCACTTGGAGGCATGACCAAGGGCATGGCTCCCCAGTGGTTTCCCACAAAGTTCTTTGCACAGCATCCTTTCCCTTCCCCTCCCTTCCTCCCGCCTCAGAGAAACTCCTTGTTCTGTGCACTGGACACATTTTGATTGCCTGGAATATCACAGAGCTGTTCATTTGTTAAAGCTGACTTCCTGTAGTGAGACATCGTTTGTTTGTTTCTAACCCCATGGTGTGCTGGGCCACCTCTCTTTCTCGTTTTGGAGACTGCGTTGGTAATTTGGGGGTGAGGAGGGGAGGGCAAGATGACTGCAGGACTAAAGTCTAAACAGCTGGGACAGGCAAGATCAAGCATCTGAGTTGCCCAAGGCCTGCCCAGTGAAACTCAGGATTATTGAATTATTATTGAGCCCAACCAGACTCAAGGGCTGCACAGATCCCCAGTTAGACATGGTGCCTGCCTTCTCCATGGTAACGAGGCTAAATATGGACGTGTTTCCATGGAGAGCCCTATCGCAGCTGCAGCCCTGCTTCCTCCAGGAAGCACATGCACTGGGCTCCTTTGGCCTCTCAGGAGGTGGCCAGAGGTCTTCGGGAGGTGCTGGGGACATCAAGGAAATGTGTCTGACCTTTGAAGATGTTTGTGTCCAACAAGTGTTCCATTTCCCCAGCCCTAGACTCATCAGTGTCCCCTCTTCTTGGCAGCTAGATGTTAGGAGAAGCCACGGGTCAGACAGATGAGCAAGTGGTGCTGGACCCGATGACCATTCATGCGAGTCATCCCCTCTTCCCCTGCTCCGGGGAGTGGATTTCCCTGTTGTTGGGAGGAACGGGGATGTCCTTGGTCAGAGGAAGACAGTGAGACAACTGTAATGACCCTTGTGTAAATGCACTGCTCTTCCTCTCGTCAAACCTCTTGTGGTCTAAGAAGTATTACTACAAAGAGTTTTTTTTTCTTTTTTTTTTATTTCAGCACATTATGGGGGTACAGATGTTTAGGTTACGTATGTTGCCCTTGCCCCCCCCCAAGTCTGAGTTTCAAATATGTCCATCCTTCGGGTGGTGCGCATTGCACTCTTTGTGTATGCATATACCCGTCCCCTCCACCCTACAAAGAGTTTTTTAAATGCCTCTTTTCATATTCATAGAATATTCAAATATGACAAGGTTTTGTTTTCTTTTCCTTCAAGGAAAGTAAGTCTTGACTGCTTACTTGAACTTGAACGAGTCAAATCTTCACATATCTTAACTGTCTGCCATAGCAATGTGGAATAAAACTTTGTTTTTGTTGAAGGCTAAACATACAAGGCGAGAATTTAACTGAAAAATACCCTGTGGAACCTCACTTGACTATTTACTGATTGCATCATCTGTGTTTCTAGCTTCAGCATCTGTTGCACTGGGCTCTCCCTGTGCCGCGATGATGTGGGTGTGCTCACATAGATCAGGAGAGATCTCTAACATGCATGTATACATAGACAGGCTGTGCCCCCTGGTTCACTAAGATGTGGAAACTTTCTGAGGACGTGGAGAGAGCTTTTAAGGCAATTATTCATATAAGGTCTCACGAGGAAAGTTCATGTCGTATGCTCTGTGTTGCAGGCCAAGCGGTATCAGAGTCAAGTGATGGACGACCTGCAGTCCCAGAACCTCTCCATGGACATGACTGACTCCCCTCCCACCTTGGCCAATAACAGACTGGAGAATGGCATGGCTCAGCTGATCACCACGGAGGCCTGGAACATCAACTCCACCGACCTGGTAAAGAAGGCCCTGGTGACCGTGCCGGCCCCATCTATTCTGAACCCCCCTGCCGAGTCCCAGGGCGGCATGGCTCTGAAGGTGGCGGCCACCGTGCTGCAGCCTCTGTGCCTCGGGGAGAGCCCGGTGGTGATGCCCATTCACATGCAGGTGGAGGGAGGCTCCGCGCCAGAGCTCAACCCCAACGGCAATGCCACCTACGTGATGACCACGCAGGGCCCCGTGCAGCTGCCCGTGGTGCTGGAGCAGCATGTCTTCCAGCACCTCAACTCCCCTCTGGTCCTGCCGCAGGAGGCCCCATGCTCCTCCAGTGCCATCCACAACAACCTCTTCCAGGGAGCTGAGGACCCCGAGGCCCAGCCCCAGCTCCTGGACCTGAGACTCCCCAGCCAGCCGCAGGAGCCCACGTTGCCCTTTGAAGCTGTGCTCCAGAATTTGTTTCCCTCCCAGGGCACTCTCGGCCCCCCACCCTGTCAGCCTCCTCCTGGCTATGCTCCTGTGCCCCCCCAGCCCTTTAACTCGCCTTTGTCCCCCCTGGTCCCCCCAGCCACCCTCTTGGTGCCCTACCCTGTGATCGTCCCCTTGCCTGTGCCGGTCCCCATTCCCATCCCCATCCCGGTGCCTCAGAGTTCTGAATCCAAGTTCAGCCCCAGTTTCCCCAAGCCACCATCTTCCTTCGGCCTGCACCCCTTTAAAGGCACCCAGACCCCTCTGGAAAAGGATGAACTGAAGCCCTTTGACATCCTCCAGCCGAAGGAGTACTTCCAGCTCAGCCGCCACACGGTCATCAAGATGGGCAGTGAGAATGAGGCCCTCGATCTCTCCATGAAGTCCGTGCCCTGGCTCAAGGCCGGCGAAGTCAGTCCCCCAATCTTCCAGGAAGATGCAGCCCTAGACCTATCGCTGGCAGCCCACCGGAAACCTGAGCCTCCCCCTGAGACCCCATATGACAGCAGTGGGTCAGTGGACAGCCCAGGTCACGCGGTGATGGAGAAACTTCCCAGTGGCATGGAAATGCCCTTTGCCCCTGCCACGCCCCATGAGGCCTCGGCCATGATGGATAGCCACATCGGCAGCAGCGACGCCACCGCGCTGCCCAGCCACCCCAGTGGCGAGGTCAAGGCTGAAAATAACGTTGAGATTGTGAGCGAGTCCCAGGCAGCCAAGGTCATCGTCTCGGTGGAAGACGCCGTGCCTACCATATTCTGTGGCAAGATCAAAGGCCTCTCGGGGGTGTCCACCAAAAACTTCTCTTTCAAAAGAGAAGACTCCGTGCTTCAGGGCTACGACATCAACAGCCAAGGAGAAGAGTCCGTGGGAAACGCAGAGCCCCTAAGGAAACCCGTCAAAAACCGGAGCATAAAGTTAAAGAAAGTGAACTCCCAAGAAATACACATGCTCCCAATCAAAAAACAACGGCTGGCCACCTTTTTTCCGAGAAAGTAAACAATGGCTTTTTAAAATTTTTATGATTATAATATGGGAAAAGGTGCATTGGTTTTATAAAAAGGCATTTAAAACAAATTATCTTTGTTAATTATTTTGGGGAGTAGTTGGGAAACGGAAAGGTGAATTGGCTCTAGAGGCCCTGTAAGCTAGTATCATTTTCTTTTTCAATTTTTGACTTTTCACAAATGAGTAAATAAGAGCAACCTATTTTTCAAGCAGATTGCACATTTTTTGCAGCTTTAATGGAATATTGGGTGAATCAGAGGGGTAAAAAAGCTATTTTCATTGCCACAAAGTGCTTTGATGATGTAATACCTAATAAAAGGTAGGATGAATATTTCACAATAAATGTTTGTTTGCACTAATTGGTTGCAGTATTCTGTCATTTATAAAATTTGCATTCCTTAACTGGCATAATTAGCCAAAACTCTTGCTTGTCAAAAGCTGTAAGTTATCTGTGTTTAGAGAACTGAGCTCTTCGGGCATATTAGGAAATATTGCCCTGTGACCCCATGAAAGGAGAATTAGGAATATGGATGACCTTGAGCAAGTCGCTGCCCCCTCTAGGCCTCAGGTTTTTTTCATTTGTAAAAATGTGGCAAGCCGGGTGTGGTGGCTCACGCCTGTAATCCTAGCACTCTGGGAGGCCGAGGCAGGCGGATTGTTTGAGCTCAGGAGTTCGAAACCAGCCTGAGCAAGAGTGAGATAGAAAGAAATTAATTGGACAACTAAAAATATATAGAAAAAATTAGCCGGGCATGGTGGTGCATGCCTGTAGTCCCAGCTACTGGGGAGGCTGAGGCAGGAGGATCGCTTGAGCTCAGGAGTTTGAGGTTGCTGTGAGCTAGGCTGACGCCACGGCACTCTAGCCCGGACAACACAGTGAGACTCTGTCTCAAAAAAACAAACAAAAGAAAATGTGGCAAAGAGAAGGGGTCAGGAAGAGAGTTTCAAGTCCCTAAGGCCCCTTTTATTTCACGTAGGTTTTGGGTGTGTAGAGAATTCTGTGCCTGGACCTTGCATAGACTGAAACAGACAAATGTCTTAAAAAGAAAAAGTAACCTTCTTCCCTCCCACCCGCCCCCCAGAGATTAGCTGGAAAGGGCCTTCTTTTCAAGGGCAATAAGAGCATTTTTCTCAATGACTGAAAATCTTGCAAGTCAAAAGTATTGCTGCCGGCCGCTCAGAACAAGAGGGAAGTCCGTTGGCCATGGATTAGGAGATGTCTTATACACTTTCCCAGCCTTGGGGGTTAGGGTGAGGAGAGGGGAGAAAGTCACTCCTTTTTAGTTTAGCCCAGTGATTCTCAAATGGGGTGATTGTGCCCCCCAGGGGACATCTGGCAATGTCTGGAGACACTTTGGGTTGTTGCAACTGGGGGGAGGGGTTGCTGCTGGCGTGTAGTGGGCAGACACCAGGGATGCTGTCGGACAGTCTAACGCACAGGACGGCCCCTCACAACACAGAATATCCGACCTGAGATGCCCATAGTACCGAGGCTGAGAAGCCCTGGCTAAGCCATTTCTTGATGGATGGAAGCGACACACCTGGAAGGAGAGAACAGCGTGTTTCTCTTCCCTGACAGCATAAGGCCACCCACACAAATGAGGAACTGTGAGTGTACGTTTAAAATAGACCTGCTAGGTGGCACATCACACTTGTGTCTGGAACTGTGCTGGCGAGAGACTGATTATTACATGCCTGCTTTTAAACTTAAAGCTCTTTTTTATTTTTTTTTTTACTTCTTGCAATTAGTATGTATCCAGCTGTTACAGTGAGCATGAACAGGAGGAAAAGCAGTTGCGAAACTGTTCTTTTATTACCGGGCCCTTGGTGTATAGGGTTACAGCTTTAGTTGGTTCTGTACCATACACCCAGAGTGGATTCTCTTTTTCCTGCTCTTTCCCCATGTTGTTAAAATTTCTTTTTCAAAGTGCAATCATTTTCTTTTTCAAAGGGAAACCAAATAGCCATTTCTCGGCTAATAGCATCAGCCAGACACCATCCTTTCTGTGTCTACGTGGTGCAGTCTTTTTCCATTTTTATTCCCAGTGTGGGTTTCTGGCTGTGCTTCCTGAGCATGGCATGTGTCTTCTGGTTTCAAATCAAACACAAAGGTGCCTAGGGACTAGCATTTCCCATTCACCCGGTGTCTTTTCTCCCCATGCTTGCAGCTGTGTCTGCTGCCACTGCGGTGCTGGATGGCCTTTGTATACCAGCCAGCAGTGGGGCCCGAGTCTTCACAGAGCACTGGGAAGGGCTGCTGCTAATCTGGCATTGAGGGAAGCAAATTCGCAATTTGCCCTTTAGAAGCAAGTGTTTAACGCTGAGCGACACACAAGAGGAAAGGGAGGAATTTGTAGCCTGTAATTACCTTATGAACCTCAAGCCACAAATTTCTCTTTGTTGTATCTGGGATGCCCTTTTCCCTTCAGATGGCAGCTCTGGCTGGGTGAGAAAAGCTGGCTCTGCAGCCAACCCTGGGTGTTGAGCCGGCCCGGGCCAACTCCCAGCCCTGGGATGGATTCCTGGAGTGGGCCTCCGTGCCCACCCCAGCCATGTCCACTTATGTCCTTGCCATTCGATCCTGGGGGCCTTTGCGGCTGAGGCTATTGTTGTGGGGACTGGCTGTAGCATTGCAAGATGCCCACTGAGATCTTTTAAGGCTGTACCCAGAGTGTTGTGTTGGGACCAGGTTTGTGCTGTTAGGGCAGCGACGCCTTCTGCCAGCCCTCCTTCCCGGCCTTTGATGGAAACTGGAATCCAATCCACTTGGCTACATGCAGGCCAGGGAGTCAGGAAAGGGGAAAAGGCCGATTGCCGCAGCCAGAGTGAGCCCAGTGAGCCCAGTGAGCCCTGGTGGTTCAATTCCATGCCCCTTCCCGATTCAGAAGTTTCAGACTTTCACACAAGCCTCCAAGTGAGAGCCATCAGCCTGGAACCATGGTTCCTGGTCTGAGGTATGTAATCCCCTAGGGCAACGGTCCCCAGCCTCTTTGGCACCAGAGACCATTTTCACGGAAGACAATTTTTCCAGGGACCGGGAAGCAGGAGATGGCTTCGGGATGATTCAAGAGCATTACATTTATTGTGCACTTTATTTCTATAATTATTGCATTGTAACATATAACAAAATAATTACACAGCTCGCCGTAAGTCGGAGACCCCTGCCCTAGGGCTCACACAGTGGGCCACTGGCAAACTCTCAGGCCCCATCCTTTTTCTGCTGGATTCAGCCGGCTGTGGTCACTCTGAGCTCTGGCCCCTCACAACTGTGTCCGGTTAACCTGTTTTCAGGTCTCCGCCATGCAGGATTTCCACCAGGTTTTTTCTCATGACTTAAATTTCCCATCTCTTCTCAAAAATGCTTTGGGCCAGCCAGCCTGAAGATCAGACTTTCAGTGTCTTTTAGGAAATGTGATTACTGCCCAGGAATGTTCGTATTTGCTCAGACTTGTCAAGATGGCTTCAGCTGGCTTCAGTTCAGAAATGATAAAAAATTGGAACAAGTTGTGAAGATCCATATTTGGGGGTAGCGATCCTCCTGGAAGAGTAAAAACTAGTTAGTTGATCTAGAGAGGGGAAAAAAAGAAAGATTGAAAGAGGTTACAGTTACTATCCTAACCAAAAAGTCCTTGACAGTGAATAGAAAATTCTAAAGTGAAGTCAAAGATTTGTTTAGATTCAGAGGCAAAACTCTCACACTTTTTGCTTGAAAAATATGTCTCCAATGGCAAAAAATCCAAAGAAAAAGAAAGAAGGAAGGAAGGAAAGGCAGGGGGAGAGAGAGAGAGAAAGAGAAGGTAGCCAATTACTGACAGAGGATGTCAGTACACTCGTTGTCTTCATAAATAGCATAATTAATAAAACAGAGCAGGAAAAGATTTATATTCATTTTACAAGTGAGGAAATTGAGGCTCAGCAGAGTTTTCTGCTTTCAGTTTTTAAGCATCAACAACTCAAAAATATGTACTTTGCAATATTCTTAAATATTGGGTCTAAAACCCAATGAACCCACAGGAATTTGGACCCTTTAGGGGCAAAAACCAGTATGGATTAGTGAAAAGTCTGAATTACAGATTTTTTTTCAATTATTTTCAAGACCACTCCAGTTAACTGGGACGCCCAGAGCACTTGGCACAATTGTAAAGTGGAGATTTTAAGCCGAAGGGTGGGGAAGCCAAGCTTCTAAAAGCCACATTCAAAAGCTGCTAAACTGCAAACTTTAACAGCAGGGAAAAAGTGTTAGAGGTCATTCTGGCAGACTTTACTCCTCATTAAATAAAAAGGCAGTTTTCCACAACAGCTCACCACCACCAGGTCAAATAACTGACCTCCCACATCAACAAGACAAAATAGGCTGTATTTGAGGTCCTTAGGGTGCCATTTTAATAAATTGATCATTTATTTTAATTAACGTATCAGTTGATTTTACAGTAAGTAGTACATATGAGTGCTTGAAAGAAGTAGTTTCAAAATGTTACAAATAATCCACTTGCAACTGTTATTAGACCAAGGGATTTCTAAACAAAGTGAGATTTTAGCTATGCCCTGCTGAGATTATGAGCAAGTCCAAGTTAAAGGAGGTGGACTGTAAGTATTTTCCATCCAAATGTATTCTATATATACACTCAGGTAAAACTGTAGGCTCGCTCTGCTGATAACGATGATAAAGTTGCCTGGAAACAGTCCTCCCTCTGTTAAATAATTTTTTAAGTCTAAGGGTTCGGTAAGTGAAGCAATTAGTAAAAATTTAATAAATCCTTATGACGTTGACAGTACCACGTTGTTGGTCCTGAATGGTATTGGGAATGTGATTTTATTTATGGTTGCTTCAAATAAGGACCTTAAGGATTTTTCTTCAACGCAGAAATTTTCATTAGGACACATTTCAAGCCACAGTAAGAAACACCGCGTTGAACAGACTGAATTCTTGGAGAGTAGGAGCTGAACCTTTTTTCTTCAACTCAAGGGTTCTCAGCCTCAGCACTATTGACATTTGGGGTTGGATGATTCTCTGCCGGGGAGGTGGGGTGAGGGCTGTCCTGTGCATTGTAGGGTGTTCAGCAACATCCCTGGTCTCTTCCTGCAAGATGACGAAAATATCCTCAGACATTGCCAAGTGTCCCCTGAGGGCCAAGGTCATCCCCTATCCAGAACCATTGCTATATTTCTAGGGCCTGACACCTGGCCCACAGCAGGGGCTCAAAAAGTCCCTGATGAGTGAATGTAATCAAGAAACAACCAGGAAGAGGAGTGTGTAGCTGTGGTCTCTGATGCTCTAGTCATACTTCGTGATTTTCTACTATGAGGCTGATCTGACCAGGAAACAATTATGGTATTACCATTCACCCATCCAAAGGGC